ACGGAAGTAGGATTGCCCAACCTTCCTTCCGAGGAGTGGCTGGTGGGTTTGAAGCACCAGCCTTCTGGTTAGCAGTATTTAGGAAGATACTGTTTGTGATTTTCTTAGCTTTTTCCAAATTCCCTTTATTGATGATGTTGTGAGAAAGGACTGTTCCCTGGAAAAGGATATCACGCTCCGTAACAAGGAGGGTCAGTGAAAAGGGGGAAGGCCCTCAATGAGATGGATTGACACAGTGGCTGCCATGATGGGCTCAGGTATAGCAAGGATTGTGAGACTGGCACAAGACCGGGCAGTGTTTTGTTCTGTTGTACATAGGGTCACTATGAGTTAGAGCTGACTCAATAACACCTAACAACACACATGGGGTCATCAAGAGTCAGAATCAACTTTATAGAAACTGTTACTGGTGTTGAGGAATAGCTGTTGAAGTAGTTGTTAGGTGCTGATGAGTTTGCTCCAACTCATAGAGACCTTTATATATAACAGAACAAAACATTGCCCAGTCCTGCACCATACTCACCATTGTTACTATACTTGAACTCATTGTTGAAGCCACTGTCAATCTATCTCACTGAAGGTCTCCCTCTTTTTCACTGACCCTCTGCTTTACCAGCATGATGTCTTTCTCTGGCAATTGGTCCCTCGTGATAACATGTCCAAAGTAAACAAGACAGAGTCTTTCCATCCTCGCTTCTAAGGAGCATTCTGGCTATACTTCCTCCAAGAGACATTTATTTATTTTTTTCTGGTAATTCATGGTATAGTCAATATTCTTTATCAACACTACAATTTGAATGCATCAATTATTTTTCAGTCTTCCTTTTCCATAGTCTAGCTTTTGCATGCATATGAGGCAAATGAAAATACCATGTCTTGCTCACTAACATTACTGACCATTTTGCTCCAAGATTCTGTAGAAGAATCCAGATCAAATGGGGGAAAATGCAGAACAGAATTTCAAATTCACATGGACTCTAAACTTTCTGGAGCCAAGGAGTCTGGATGAATCCAGAAACTATTGCCCTGAGATAATCTTTAAACCTTAAACCAAAACTTTCCCCTGAAGTTCTTAAAAAAACCCACCAGCCACTCCTCAGAAGGAAGATGGAGCAATCTACTTCCACAGTGATACTGCCTTGGAAACCCAAGGAGGGGTCGCTATGAGTCAGGGCTGACTCGACGGCAAATAACAACAACAACAACAATAGTAAAAAAATGTCTGCCTTGAGCAATAGGCTTTTTTAAGATCTATCTCATACATGAGATAGATCTCATATACGATCTCATATATGAGATCAAATTGACAATAGCAACTTGAAAGATTAGATAGAAATCTTAGAGGGAGTGAGTTTGTGTTAATGAGGGAGAAATAACTTAGAAAAAGAGGGTTAGAATGGTTGCACAACTTGAAAAATGTAATCAACATCACTGAATTTGTACATGTAGAAGTTTGCATTAGTGTATGTTTTACTGTGTATACTCGCAACAACAGCAACAACAAGAAAAAATAAATTATTTTTTTAAAATACCATAGCTTGGGGCCCATGCACCTTAGTCTG